TATTCACCAAACTTCATTAATGATCATGAATTATTGAATAGGGACGAACCATTTGATTTGTAGGGGTATTCTATTTTGTATTCTAAACAACTCTCATTTCACTGGCTTCAGCTTCAGCATTATTTTAATCAAATATCAATTTTGTCCAAAAACTAGACATATATTTATTTCCACATTTTAAAGTTAAGAAAAACAAATTTTGAAGTTTGCACAAGATAGCAGGAATGAATAACTTAATTATTCTCTGGTTTTTTTTTCACTTACTTCGCTAAATGCACTAAATTTATTAAAACCCAGTAAATATTCAAACTTAACAATATAATTTAATATGTTCTTCACAAAAAAGTGAATTAAAAGCCTAGTGAATGACATTGCAACATTAAAATAACTAAATTATATAAGAATCAAATTAATGCAAGATTGTGGAATTAGACAAGTGTGAATTGTATATAAACAATTTAATATTATTATGGATTGTGATCTTTCATTGGTGTCATATCTTGAGTGATCAATTTATTTATCCAATAATTAAACACGGATGAGTGTGTTTTCTTTCTCCATATCAACGTTTTGAAGAGTGATAGTGTTGAGGGAAATTATTAGTGTCAATAAATATTTTAATGTTGATTGTATTTCATGTTTGTTGAAATTTTATCATATCGATAATCCCATAATATTTCTCTTTTCTCCCATGAATGTCTTGCAACTGTGTGCTGATTCTACTCGTTAATTCCCTTACCAAAATCAAGTATACTGAAAGTATACCCAAGGTACGCTCTGCATGCGTAAGTTAGGTATACCTAATGTGTACCAGAAATGAAACAACTGGTATACCTTAAGTAGTCCAGAATTGGGCACATTGATGGGTATACTTTGGGTATATCTCTTTGGAAGAAGTATACCTTAGGTGTATTTATTTCTGGAAAGTATATCCTAGGTACATTTATTCCGAAAAGTATACCTTTGATAAACCTCACAAAACAAACAGACAAAAGAACAGGTATACTCAAATCGACTGTCCACATGCAAAGTTGGAAATAGGTACCTATATGGTATACCTGAATTATACCAATTTTAAACTTTGCATGATACAGTTAGCTGTGCTCAATAGTATACCTAAAGTGTACCACTTCAACTTCAGTATTGGAAGGTACATTTTAAGTATATTTATCCGGAAGCAAGTTTTCAAATAAGTAGTATTTTGGTATACCTGAAGTATATCTAAATCAATTTGGTATACTTATAGTGTACCTTTGGTATGCGTAAGGTATACCAGAACAGTTCTTTATTTGGTAAGGGTTGTGATATTTGCTCCATTTTGCTTAGATTTGTTTGTATTTTAACTAATTTTTGAGGGTACTGAAAAGGAATTCCGAAAAACACACATAATCTTGTCAAAATGAACCATTTTCACCACAATCAATGAATCATCTTAATTATTGGACCATATATCAACCCAGAAGCTCTGGACAACATTGCAGTGTGTACATTTCAAAAAAATAGTTTGGCAGTATGTGACGTCAAACAATGTGATGCGTTATCAATCAATCTGTCCTGTGTGACGGCACAGTGTGGAATGTAATAAAATGAAGTTTCTTTATTAAATGTGCTAAAATTAAATTTTTCCCACTTTTCATAAATCATAATTTCTTTAATTTCTACTATTCATAGTTTCTCTGGCTCGCTTAAATGAAACTTGTGACTTTAGAAAATCATGTGCAATCAAAAATATTTTATTTAAAAGACTTTAACTAACACATTTACCATGGAATGAAATCTAAACTAAATTCAGTACCTCTATATTTATAATTTTATAAAGCTTTTTCAAAATAAACACTGATGTTAATGACTAATAATTAATAGATCTTTAGAATGAAAAACTACCATACATGTGTCTCTCGTTAATCAACTTCTAAATTATTTATAACATTGTGAAAAAAAAAACACCAAAACATTAATCTTACTGGTGACACATTGCAGTAGGTTGCTGAGTAAATTTACAGTAACTCTATGTATTGTTAATGCCCTGGTTGTCAAGAATGCCTAAATTTGCATATGTATTTATTTTTACTTATTGACTCTTACACAATCCCCGGAGGGAAAGAAAATGGTCACAAAGTACAAGGAGAAATATATATATATAAAAAACAAAACAAAAACACAATATACTAAAAAACAAATAACAAATACAATCACTAAATTACTAAATAAAACAAAATCTCTATAATACAATCTAATATAAAATTACAAAATTGACAGCAGGCATTAAGATGTCAAGTAAGACCCTGCTTCCTGACTTCAAAGCTTTTACTTATGAACTGTGCTACTGGTATAATAATGTTTTCATTCTGTAACAATTCCATGAATTTTTTCTCTGCAGGTTTATTTTCAAATGCTGGGATCATATCCTTAGCTTTATTGAACAGTTTGGCACGCAACTCATTATATTTGTTGCATTCCAGCAGAAAATGCATTTCATCCTCAATTAGACCTTTGTTACACATGTCACAAACCCTGTTGTTTAGTGGGATTTTTTTATGACGACCCATTTCAATTTTGAGACTATGGTCACTAAGACGGAATTTGGTAAGCACACTACGCAGTTTAAAGTTTTTTAGCTTGACTAAATATGGCTCAAGTTTTAAATCTGATTTGATTAGCCGA